AAATCGCATCAAAATAAAACTGAAAGGGAAGAGAATCATATGAGTGGAATTAAATACAAAAAGGAAATAAATCGAAACTGTTTTCCGTAGATTGCGTCATTTAACCTTTATAATTCTCGTTTTGATGACATTACGTTTTTCAATTTCGATAAATGTGGTATAACTTTTAAAATCTCGTAAATTGGCTTACTCAAAAATAAATTATCGTCATGGTGTACTTACGCCTAAAAACTTTGGGTTAAGCCCATATTACTTCTTATGATTAATTGGGCCTGATAATTCTTCCCCAATCGGAATCCTTTGAAGCCTCTATACATTATTGTCATTCGAACTTTAATCTTCATCTAGTGTAACTTAGTGGAAATGCCTACATGGTGCTTATATCATAGTTTTTTTACCCGAACCGACTCGGCGGGTCAACCCAGTATGCAATTGACCCGGAGCCGAAACCGGTTCTAGTGGACAATTTGATCGGGTAAACAAAGGACCCGGTCAACCCGGTATTGACCCGGTTGACCCAACCCATATATAATATATTATATATATTCTTAAAAAATAAAATTATGTATGTATATATGTTTATATGGTAAATATTTCATCATGAGATACATATTATTAACACTTTAATTTACAAATTTTATATACAAAACATTTAATTTTGTTACTTTTATGTATATTTATATGACAAAAATATTCTATATATAATTTTAAAAATTTTAAAATTAACTATCCGATTCAACAATTGACCCGGTGACCCGACAGTTGAACCGTTGACCCGGAGACTTGCCCGAATCGATTACCTGGCTCGGTTTAAAAATTATGTTTAATTATCTTATTTATTAGCTTTTAGAAAAATTTAATATGAACGTTTTGAATCGTAAATTTATTAAGTGGAGAACCATATGTTTGGATATAAAAAAAAAAAAAATCGTTTTAGTTAATTTTTGAAAAAAAAAATGGTATGGTTTGTTGTTAGTGGGTATATTAAAATAATATTTAATACAAAATAATTAAAGGTGATTTGATGTAAAAGTAATAGAGATATGATTTGAAGTGATGGTTAATTTAATATATGTGAGTGAATGAACAATGAATTAAAATTGATATAATGTGTAAAAAATGATTGATTGATATTATTTAATTATATTAATAATATTGATGATAGTGAAATTGAGTTAAAATTGAGTTTAAAAAAGTATTGAGTATATTTGGATTTTTTTTTTCAGAAGATTTGTATCCATTCATTCTCTTAAAGACACGGGTATTAAATAGGACTTTGTTTGAGAAAAAAATTATTGGTAAGATAATTAAAGTGTTTGATATGTATTCATTACTTTGCAAGACAATCAAAATTCCTGATGAATTATGCATCAAAATTCCTGATGAATTATGCGAGGATTTTAGTCATGAGTTGTTTGTAAGTGTGTACATATTAGAATATTCACTTTTGAGTTGTCTCACATCGTTTATATAGGGAAAATAGACCTAACTTATAAGTTTAGTTGGCTACTACTACTTCCACCAATTGGTTTTGTGATGGAACATCACTTGGGTTTCATCTGGGCTTTTTCTGTATTGGTGCACTTCATCTGCGTGAGACAACACTCGTTTTTCATGTGTTTCTTACATGGTATCAGAACCGGTTCTATTGGGATCGTGTGATGACGTACCCGTTTTCCAGCCCATTTGGGCTTGGCCACCCGGTTCTGTATATGAACTTGGACTTCTTATGAAGGACTCACAAGTGAGGGGCGTATTAGAATATTGTGAGTTGTCCCACATCGTTTATATAAGAAAAATAAGCCTAATTTATAAGTTTAGTTGACTACTTCTTCTTCCACTAA